TACATGAATGCAAAAATTCTGCGTTTGGATATTTTGATTGTCGAGGTTTGCTGGTGTGATGCACGTATTGCCCGTACGCATTTAACCCTTTCATGCACCCTGTAATTGGTCACACGATCAGATGTCCACTGTAGTAATTGCTGTCTCTGAAAGGGTTCGTAAACGATATCATTGAGAGGAATTCCATTGACGTTCAATGTTTAGTCATTTGTTTCCAAAGAAAACAAATAAGGATGCTTCACATATATTAAAAAATATATATATTTATTCATTTTTTAATTTATTATTATTTTTTTCTTCCGGGAGCATCTCCCCTTTCAGCTGGTCCAAGAATTGGACAAACCAGCGTTGGGTAATTACTGGTCAGCCGTACCGGTGTTAAGTAAAAATAGCAAAGAATGGCTCTTAAAAGGATTTGCAAATCAGACAAACACTATCCTGCCAATGAGATTAAACTATCATGAGGATTAAAACCTCTGTTTTTTTTCTTGTTTTTTTTTTTTTTTTTAATCTCTACACTGTGTGTTATTAATGGTTATTCTTTGGGGATTACTTGGTGGTGCATTTCAAGTGGCCTCACTAATTACAGAGTGCTACTCCTTCAATTATGCTAATACGAATTGAGAGCCCTACGATATTAAGAACACATTATAGTCCAACCCGAAATGAAAAACTGAACATTATAATCCACATCCTCAGTGATTGCCTGACATTTGTGTTGAGAATATACTGTTTGCAATTCCAAAAATTACCCGAGGGCTCTTTTGCTGTTAATGCATCACAGGACATCATTATCGCTAAATATACTCCCGGGTAGCATGATGTGTTTAGAAGCATGATATTGATAATCAAACTGGATGCTTGGCAAATTTTCCATAAAACCACGAAATTTAAACGCAGCACAGAATGTATGATTCCTATTTGTGTAGACAAAGAAAAGTGTACACCGCTGAGCTAAAGTAAGGCGACTTTGGAATCTCTAAAAGCAGGTGAAAGTTACTCGCAAGGTGCAAAAGACAGTTTTCAATTGTTATTTGCCCTCTCTGCGTGGGAGAGAAGTGGGGGGGGGTTAGCATTCAGCATTTTAGCTGCCGAATAACCTCACCGTGAACGATTGCCACTTGTGCAGAGATGACAACCTGACACTGTTTGCTCACCGTCAAGCCGACTGAGCTGCAGGACACTTGAAGGGCGTGAGTCACTATATTCAGTTTCACCTGCATGACAATAACAAAGGCAGATGGTGGCCCGAGTCATATTTGACATCCAGCCTCAGTCACCTGAGGCAGGTGACGTCACCGTGACCCCAAGCTGATGACCCAGCAGCCAACCGAGACGTTTTTTTTTTTTTTTTTTTTTTTTTTTTGGTGAGGATAAAGGATTAGCACTTGTTTGCATTTCGCTGCCCTTTGAACCTGAAACAACTGAAAAGAAAATATCTTGCATGAAAGGCCCATCTTGTCGAGAAAGCAAAGAACTGAGGCGTTACCTCACTTCAAAGGAGGTTGAGTCACTCGCCTGAGCCGCCTCTCACACGGCCGTTGATGCACGCTCCTCCTATATTACTAACCATTTATCTTCAAGAATGACTTCAGAATGATTTTTTTTTTTTCCCCTCCTACTGTAACTTTTGTCCTCTTAGGTGAGGCTTTCTCAGCCTCCTCAATAACAAAGTGTGATTAAATATGAATGCTAAGTGTTTTGGTGGTTGCAGCCCAAAGCTGACACCGGATCCATTGTGGGCCACAGGCAGCATAATTAGTAGCTGATGATAGATGTCATTAATGGAACACACGAGGCTCTAAGGCAGGCCTCCGATACTGCGGCAGCCTCTGAACCATCCAGTTAATTAAGTTGCAAATAAATAGATCTTACTACAGCTGCTGGTTGTGATTGTAATCAGCTTTGTACGCATTGTCTAAGTGATTAAATATTAAGCTGTTTGTGACATTTACTTGATGTTCCCTGTCGTCGAACCTCTGGCGATATCATGTTGAAAGCATGATGAAAATCCCGTAGAAAACCAGATCACCATTTCAAAGCCTTGAAGGGCCAAGCGCGACGCCTTTAATGGCAGGGGGAAGAAAAAAAAAAAAAACCTTTGTGTGTGCTCCGAAGATTTGGAGGGCTCTTTGGGTTGTTATAACCCCGGTGGGAGATTGACGCATTCATGATGAGAGCTTTCCAAGTTTTCATCCGGCGCTTCTTTGCAGAGCGGCTTTGGCTACCGCTGTGCTTCCACACTTGTGAGGAAAAGGCAGAGTCATGTCCACAGCTGTGAGGACATGCCCACTTTGAGGCTGCGGGGCTTTAATGTGCCGGGCTAGCATTAAACAGCCCGGCTTTCTGATGATGCGGTCAGCTCCCACGCAGTTATCCAGTCGCGAGTTCGTGCGCGTTGCCGCGTGATCGTTTGCATTGTTGATCATCCTCATAGTCCAACAAAAACGAAGCAAAGCCGCATGACTCCCAACCAAGACTTGTTAAGTTTCTCCAGATGACTCCCGCCGGCGAGGAGCCGACGGGCAATCTACGAAGGGGAATCTCGGAGAAAGGAGTTTGCGTTTTGAATCGATTGCTCTCACCTTACAGATGAAAGTATCACCGGCTGTCTGTGAAGTGCTGAACTAGAATGTATCCGATTCATGATATCAAATACACTGGATCATGCGTGGCTCTGCAACGTGATGGCAGCCTGCGGAGAAGATCAAACCGCTGACTCCGAAACGAGGGTCAGTGGATGCAGAGCAGTTAAAAGTGCTCGACTTTTTGGGGGTTTTTTTTTTGCTTCTTCAAATCCAACAAAGAAGGACCTCCATTAGTTGCAGCTAAGAAACGACTCGAACAATAATCTGCAATCTACAGAGTGTTCAATGTGATTCGGGGCCGTTTACGCGTTGTCAACTTCAAGATTGTTTTGGCTGTTCATTCCAATTCATTCCAATCCAACAATGCAAGCATTTTTAATGACCATAGGGTTTTTTTTTCCATGCATTATTCTTATCGTGGGGCAGCACAGTGGACGACTGGTTAGCACGCGCAGAGGTCATGGGTTCAATTTCGAGCTCCGGCCTTCCTGTGTGGTGTTTGCACGTTGTCCCCGAAGGATGTCGGCCTCAGAAAACTCGTTGGGCCCAAATGGACAAACTTCAAAGCAAGAGGGAATCAAGTGATTGAGTTCCCGCTCTTTTATTTTGTTATCCCTTAAACATTTGAAACCCGAAAAGGCTACTTGAGAGGGGGGGTCGTTTGGCCATACGGGGACGCGTGGTGACCCGGCACATACACCGAGGTGGCTGCCTCGTCTTCTCAGTTACACGGCTCAGATCAGCTGGCATTACTTCATAACTAGGCCATGCTCCTCAACTTCACAAGAAAAAGACCCTGGCTGGCGCCTGCTCTCCCCACAACTTTATCATTCACTCCATCTTCACCTGAGAAGACCCGTGAGGCGGGTGGGAGGGGGAGCGGGGGAGTACTTTTTTTTTAAGCTCCAATTTACTCAGCAACCACTCCAGACTGTTGCTAAATACAAGTCATAAACACAATATGTTACACGCGAGCCTCGCATGCCAGAGTCTTAAAAGTTGCAGCAGTTAATAGTCTTAAAACGACAGATCACTTTGATGACGCAATAACAAACCTAATCCCATAAGAGGTTTAACATTTATGCTTACTGTATATGGATCTTTGCGTCAGTGTGTGCAAACATTGAAACAAAGATTAACATGCGGTCGCCTCCTTCCGCGCTAATCTGACTTTGCTGATCCTGATCATGTAATATTACCGAACGCGAAGAAAAACCAATGCGAGATTACGATCGTGTTGTTGTTTTGTGTTGCTCATTAGGTCAAGAGGAATGTCCGGAAAACCAGAGGCGCAAAAACCCCTTGTTGTTATCAGGTCACTGCTCCAGTGCCATCTCTGCCATTGGGTCAGTGTGCCACTCATGTCTCATCTAACAGACCAGCAGGCGCGATGCCGTTGCCATGGTTGCCGTGCAGCTTGTCCACGGCGAGCAAATGAAATCCCCTCTCTTTCCAGTTTCCAGGCAGGATTCCCCGCTTTGTTTGGATGGGGGACGGTGCACGTGTGTGATGCACGTGCCCGTCTAGAGAAGGAGATATCATGAGGGAGAATAGACATTTGAGGTTACAGGGGAAGTAGGGCGTGTGATTGTGCAGCCATGTGTGTTTCTGCATATGCATGCGTGCGCGCACAAAGTGTGCTTTGCGCAAGCGTAGCTGTTGGGCAACAACTCTCTGATGTCACGTAAACTGATGCCTGCCCGGTCGGTCTCTCCCAGGCATCCCGGGTGGCGGCGTGAACCTGTTTGTGCGATGTGGCGCTCTCCCATAAAAACACATGTCAAAAACGGTGTCGGCATGCTCACAGCTATTTATTATTCATTAAGTAATATGGGTTAGTGAATTTCAATGTTTTTAAAAGAGCCTGCTGTCAGAAGCACGTCAAATAAATCTATTTATATAATGCTAAGAGGTGGAAGGACTTCATCTCCAGTCGGTTCATTACTAATGGATGATGTATTGAGTTGCAGCGAGTGTTGCCTTCCAGCCAATACTTTCTGCAGCAATTGCCAAATGCTAAAACAAAGAGTCAAACGCGCGATAAATTCATCGGGTTTCTTTTCTTATGCTTTGTGTGCTGACATCAATGCACCGTGCGCTTTTGTTATTTGATTTGGTCGAATGTCAAGACGTTGCCACATAGGAATGAATTCATTGCCAGCTGCTTGATTAGACAGGAAATGTTCAAAGTAAAGTGATAACATTCTTGGCTGTCATACACGAGTAAAAAAGAAGTTGCAGCGAACTCGTCAAGTGCTGACTATAATACATGATCTGCATTGCGGTGATCTATTGAAAAGGCAAATTCCCTCCAGTCACGTGTTTTCTTGACAGTCAGCTGGAGCTCCTTTGTTGTGCTCAAGCACAAAGGGAAGCTGCAACTCATGCTTGTGCATCTTTTCTTGTTTACAGTGATCGCCCATGCAAGAAGTGATCAGCTTTCCAATATCTCAGTGGACGAGGAATCCAATCCTTTCTTCCCACATCGCGTCCGCGCCTTTTGGTGCGATCAAAGTACAAATCTCACGGTATGTCCAGCACAAGAAAGACAGGCGGAGGCAGGGACCCATCATGACTTCTCAAACAGCTCTGGCGGAGGGGACGGCCTAGATAAAGAGCACAGGAGTTGGGGGAAGGGTCTGTGGGAGAATGCCGAGGGTGAGAGGACCAGCTGGCCATGGAGGTATTGATCAGTGCTTGTCCTATAGGGAGGGGTGACCAGCAACACCTGATCTGCACAACAATACTTGAATCGGCTCAGTGAGATTGCTGGTTAAATGTCAAAATACACCCGCTGGCCACAAGAGTAGGTAAACCTGCAGAAGCTGACCATTCCAGTCAACGGATCATTTGGAGAAGTGGACATTTTGAAACAGCCCTAAGACGTTTCTTTTCGCACTTATCTTGATTAGTAAGCGAGAGTTAGAGCCAATACCAGCTGAGTTTGGGCAAGAGGCCCGGGTACACCCGGGAGTGGTTGGCAGCTACTCGCAGGGCTAATTTATCATATTCACACTCTTTTCTTGCCAAAGGACAATTCAGTCTTCAATAAACCATCAAACACTCATGTTTTTGGAATGCGGTTGGAAGTCAGAGTACCCAGGAAAAAAAAAAAGCACACACATTAGCAAAGGCTGAACAAGCAACCTCCCCACATGCAGTAGTATTTTATTTTATATTTCTGGAGTAGTAAAGTGACAAAAAAAGGGTAAAATGCTTGGATTCAAGTACTATTTTTTTCTTTTTTATAAACCAAAACCTTTGTAATTTTTACCTCGTGTCATTCAACTACCCGTCATTGTCGTGTAACATTGCAGCAACAGGTTGAAAGAAGGTGTATAAATGTTAAGATAAATCAGTTTTAATCATAACAATACACAATCGCTGCGCATGTTTGGAACCAGATGGGGATAGTAGCGTCGAGTTGTAGAGGCGTGCTCGACCTCGCGTGAGAGTGGGAATTTCCCGTCCACGTGTCTGAATACGCGATGGCAGAGGCGGGATCACAACAAACTTCACGATTGGTTACGGCAAAGGACTCTTAAAGGAAAGTGCTGCAACCCCGCCCGGTTCCAAAGGAGTTAACCGACAAAAAACCGTGCGTCTTTAAGAGAGCCTATTTACCAAGTTTGGGAGCTCCGCCCCGGCGGCGGAGTTTGTTTTTTTGCAGCTGACGTCGGCGAAATGAAATCGGCTTGTAGCAGTTTTCCCCACAGAATGGAAGTTGTCGTGGGGAAGATACGGGCGATACTTGGTTGACCTGGTCGGATATTAACGTCGGTTCACCTTTTTTTTTCTTCTCTCCGCGGTGAAGATCCCATTAACAAGGAAGCCTGCGTAACGGGTAAGTTCCTTATAATACACATTGGCACCTTTTTTTTTACAGGGCGACAAGCCGGCATTTATGTACATTAACACCCAAACGCTTGCACGTCTCCCGTTTAACCGACTTTACTCTTAACATCGTGCCAAAACCGAAACTAAGATTACAATATGATTCACTGCCTTTCCTGTAAGAACGCGTAAAAACATTAACTACGGTATAGCGACGTGGTGTACGGATTTTACTCACATCGATTACAGCCGCATGATTATTAAAAACAAATAAACCATCTACGAGATGCGTTTCTTGTATTACCTTGAAATTTGCACTTCACTTTCGAGGGGTCAGTATCTGTATGACTATTTTGCGATTTTGTGTCATTATTTTTATATACATTGGGAATGTTCAGTGCTCGACTGAGTAGAATTCAGGTATTTTTGAAATATATATATATATACACACGTGTGTGTGTGTGTGTGTGTGTGTGTGTGTCATCATAAAACTGCCGTCTTAATTTGATCATGATAGTGGCGCTCTGAGAGTATGAATAAAGTGCACAACCCCCACCTCCTTCCCTTGGCTGCATCGTGTTACAGCAGGGGGAGCCATGACACAAATTCTGCTCACTGCAGTGCAAAGAGCAACTCAGGTTATCTGGAAGTTGTTGTTTTTTTTCCCCTGGCTCATCCTAGTCCTTGCCATAAGTTTGTTTAACAAAGCATGGAGTGGTTTTACTCCGAGTTGATTGTGAGGGCACACAGTTTACACTGTAAATTTGCATGATTGCGACGCAATCTTCTTGTGTGGGGTGAAGAAATAAATACTTCATGTCAAAGTGTTGGCAAGCTGACAGGCCAGAGTAGGGAGAGAGATTGAACGTTTTCCACCAAGACTGTCATTACTCTTTTGCTGTGAGCCCTAATTTGGTGGTGTGGTAGTAGTCTAACCCTGCATTACAACTCCATGTTGACTGGGGGATTAGCTATTGAAGCAACTTTGTGATAACTCTTTGACTCCTGCACCGACTCGGGGTTGGGTGCAATGAATCATTGTCACTGAAGAATAGCGCCATTTGCCGGCACCATTTTCCATCAGGTTGTTTACGTGTTAAATGTACACTGATAACTGCCTTTATTACCTTCTGTGCAGGATTGTTACAAGTTACGGGCGGGGTCAGCATGGACAAAAATAAAAATATCTTTCATTTACCTCAGAAGCCAATCTTTGACCGCAGTGAACTGTGTGGTTTAAACAGTGAAAGGAACAAAACGATCATCTTGCCACAGAGGCAGGCCTCATCTCTTACCCAGCTTGTCCGTTGCGGTTTTATTGATTGGAGCACACACATTATAAACCAGACAGGTTGTCTGGTGTGAGTGTATTCGAACGGCGTCTGATAAAATCAGCAAATGACCGTGCGTCCTCAGTGTGGGATCCATCTCATATTTCCCTCTCTTTCCCCCCATTTAACCTTTTAGTGTGCTCAACGTGTAGCGTCCCCGCATGGAGGATGAGGAGGATGATGTGTTTGAGCCAGACCCCCACTGCTGGCGCACCACATTCAAGGAGATAAAGTGTGAGGAGCGGGCAACACAGACACCTGGCCCCGTCCCGGCATCAAACAACGGCATGCTGCCCTGTGGAGTCGCAGAGGAGCCAAGACCACTCTTCTACGGTGAGTCCAAGCTAAAATCACCAAAAGAACCGCGAGGGGATTGTTTCCTTATGCATGCCACAACGTTGTAAAATCAGAAGCGAGACGCTTTCATGTGAGGAATGGGAAAGTGTGTAGTTGCGCTGATGTGACCTGTGGCGCCTGATAGTCGTGATCAGGGCCAGTTTTTATGGCGCGCGTGGAGTGTACCCAGCTGCTTTGCTATTCAAAAGGCGCCAGGCTGCCTTTGTGACTGAGTGGACAAGATGACAGGGGTGACTACCTGTGTGAGTAGGCTGTCAGTGATTATCAGTGACAGCAAAGTTTCAATGGCACCATATACTGTATGTGTAATCATTGCCGGGTTGCTCCATAGCGACGGTAGAGAGCGACTTTAGGTGAGTGTGACTTTTAACACCGTAAAATGACTCACCGTGATTGGCTCCGGAGCAAATACAGCAGCTGTGAAAGTTCACTCTGAAGCCAAGCAGGCTGACATCTTCTGCAGTTCTTGGCAAGTCTTCATGCCTGCTGTATCATCATCATTAACATCATCACACACGCACACACACACACAAAGAAAAACCCATTACGCTTTATTTTCTGGACATTTTTTTAACAAAGACCAAATCTCGACTCCTCAACAGGTAACGCAGGTTTTCGATTGCACTTCCCGGCCCACTTTGAACTTGTTGGTGAACAGGAGGAGCGACTGCAAGAAAGCGACGACGGAATGGAGCAGCAACTCCAGCAGCAGCAGCAGCAGCAGCCCGTGGCACGCAGCATAGAGGCCTGCGTCGGTCAGAAACTCCAGCTGATTGGAGACCAGTTTCATCGGGAACACTTACAGCTGGTGAGCAGGAATCAACACAAGCACAAATAAGACTGGCGCGAGCGGCGACATTTTGTTGGATTGAACGGATACTCGGAAATACAGGACATGGCTCTTGCTCTATCCCGTCGCTGCTTTTTCAAGGAGCTTTTGAGTAAACAAAAGCTGAGCTTAAATGCTTAAGTGCTGAGCCCTTATAAAAATATCTATCATCTCATTTGACAGAGTTAGATATTCTTAGCTCTTCATTTGTTGCGGCGTAGACTTGCACCGCATCACACCGAGAGCTTTTTGCAGGACTTTAATGAACCGATTTAACAACGTTAAGTGCCGATTTGTTAGGTGCGGCCGTGTGATGTAATTTACCCGATGTTATCGGGTCATTATCTCATTCAAGTTGAGTTTGTTATGGTGTCGCAGACAATTACTAATGCAACCATCAACAAGCTGCGTGCAATTAGGAGCGCGCTTGAGTTTGAAAAAGTAATCTTGCGTCACCTTTCGCACACTTTTTTTGTCGAGATCAGTGCCCCCTTTTAAATCCAGGAAAGAATTAGGGTATGTTGGAGCTAGTTTGCTCTCATTTATTGTGGTAGCTCCATATTTGTTTTGGAGACGCTCAGTGTGTGTGCGCGTGTGTGTGCGCGCGGGCGTGCGTGTCCTCCCCCTCCTCCCAAGCCAAAGACAAGCTGAACCAGGGCAGCCCTTCCCCCACCTCACCAAGCCCTCCCCTGCCTCCTCTTCCTGTTTATTACTCTCCCCTCTCCTGTTTTCTCTGCGGGCCTGCGATGTAGGCAAGTAGCACACAGGATGCTTGCTCGGCCTCGGCGCACTGTACTGTGGTCAGGGTGACACTGTCCACAGAGTCACCACCGCGCTGCACAACATCACTTTTATGCGTGTTTGTGTGCTGGGTTGTAAAACTGTGACCCTGCGCTGCACAATCCTCCTTTGGTGATTTCTTTGGCACGGCATAAGTGTCCTGTTGCACAACCGGTGAATCGTATATTTGAAGGCACAAAAAAAAAAATGAAAGAAAAAAAAAAAGAAGCAGAAGTGGCGGGAGTGCGTAAACATGTAACCTGATACCGAACGCGTGAGTCCGAGGGGAGCAGCTGCGGTTCCAGGGAGTCTCCAGTCAGCCCCTTTACTGGGCGAGGAGCAGTCAGCTGAGAAACCATAATAAGACGTCTACACACATGCGGGTTGGGATGAAGGGGGGGGTTGTAGAACAGTCAATGAGGTTGTGAGGTGGAGAAATTAACCTCAAATTACCAACTACAGCACTAAGTTATAATTCAAATGCTCCAACAGTTTTGAAAAAAAAAAAGTCTCATAAAAGTCACACCAAAACTGGAGTTGGAACCATCATCATATGTCATCTCGAGAGACCTCTGCCTCTTTTTTTTTTTTTTTTTACCCTTTTTGTGTGTTTGGTCGCCTTCTGAAAGATGGAACCGTGTCAGTGGTAGGGGCTGCACGAAATTGGAAAAGCATGCGATGTGGGTGTTGAATATTGCGACAGCGAGGATGTGATGTTCAACATGTACCTCAAGAAAGCATAAAGCCAACAGCTCAGTATCGACCATTGAACACCTCCTCTTCTTCTGTCCACCGATAATCTTTCTGTCCGAAAATATGTTCGCATGCGAAAATCAAGGTGCAGTTATTAGCGCCGCCGCGACTCAGCAATAACTCACGCATGTCGACTCTGGCAAAAGAACCACGCGCATGCGAAAATCAAGGTGCAGTTATTAGCGCCGCGGCGGCTCAGTAATAACTCACGCATATCGACTCTGGCAAAAGAACCACCCGGCCGCATCTTATGCCAGGAGTTTTGAGGTCAGCAGAATGACGAGGCCGCAGCCGTGGTAAGTCGGAACGTTGCCGCATGGGTGTGATTAATTAGGGCAGACAACCGCATACATACAGTTTGTATCCGTGTGCGTGTTTGTCGTTTTGAGTGCGTGCAGCCCAGTTCGTTGGCTTTGTGGTGCGGTTGTGGAATTTGTCTCATTGAGCCTGCACGTACTCGTACATGAATACAAAGTTGTTGAGCACCATTTCTCACTATCGCACGGTCTGACTGACCGTGGCGTTAAAAAAAAAAAAAAAAATCCCATCACTCAATAATAGTGTCAGTGTTCATCCATTTTCATTCCTGTCAGTGGGTGATTGCAGTTCTTCAGAACAGACACTTGTCCCTGAGCTGTCCAAGTGCTTGGACTGCCATCTGCTTGATGGATCGGGGGGGAGGCTTGTGGCTGTGAGGAGGTAGAGGGGGGAGCCGGTGGCCCCCATGGCAAAAGCAGGGATTAGGTAGCCAAGGAGTGCCGGAGGATGCTGACAGATAAATTGCTCTTCTGTCAGAGAGGGCTGGAGGGGACACTCAAGTCCCCAGAGGATCGCCAACATTAGCTTGCTGCGCCATTTGAGACATAGCGATAATGACAGTCACAATGGCAGGAAGACGGCTCCAGCTCGCACAGGGCAAGGAGCGGAGTTGGGTTTCATCCCCGTGTTTTCTTTTTTTTTACAGCAAGGTGATTTGGATATCTACTTGTGGTGCTTTTTTTGTTTTGAGTTGTGCGTTAGCATCCAACGTCATACCGTTTATTTTTCTTGGACTCCTCGTCTCCTCCCCGATGATAGTTTGTTCTTGCCCCCGGAGGCGGTGCCTGCTTTGCCGCACCGATAAGGCCAAGCTTGCGAGCAGCTGGCCCGATCGACAGCCCACACGGGACACACCGATAAAGCACATCAGTGCGGCGTTCGAGTGACGACGCCGAGCATCTGGCTAAACTCCGGTGTGCCGTTTGCCGGTTAAATTTAGAGCCTCGATTTTGACAGTTGGTGGCACTAGTTCTTTCGGAGTTTTGACAGGCCGTCTCGCTTGTGTCTGTCTCAGAGTCTCTCTGTCAGCATGATGGAGTAAAGCGCAACAAGGTCACTCTCGAGGGAAGCTTCGGTTACTGTTTGTAGAGATAATTTTCTACTCATCTGGTTTGTAGTAAACACACTTGTGCGGCGTGATAAAGCCCTCTGGTTTCACTCCGTATCATTGCATCTCAATCCACATTTTAGTTTTATCATATCATATCATAGGCTGGAATGCGACGTAAATTTGGCCTTAACCCTTTCAGGGACAGCGGTTACGACAGTGGACATCTTATCATGTTATCAGGTCACAGGGAGCATGAAAGGGTTCGTCTTGATTTGGACCTTTTACGTCGATTGATGAATGGTGAATAGATAACATGCTGAGTCACGTGTAAGATCCTTTAAATGGGACGTCAGCGAGATTCAGCACCTCATTGTATCCGATTGTCTGTTGAGCTCCCATGTCCTTTGTCGGCGCAGAACATTTCTTCATTTTGTTCCCTCAACTAAATAACTGTGGACTTTTGTTTCACGCCATCATGAAAGCAAAACCAAAGTTTACCAAGCACGGGCATGTTAGCTCTGATGTGTCATCAACCGCTCTGTTCTTCAAACTACCCCCACACAAGGCAAGTCACACGGGACAAGAACTCACAACACTCCAGAAAATTCTTCTTTTTATTTGACAGCAAATTGATGTCGTCCTCCGTGAAAGCGGACTCAATATTTTTGCGTTGGATCAAAATCAGACAATTGCCAACATCTGCTTTTACTTTGGAAAACAACCGTCAACATTTTGGACTATTTCCGTACACACCAAACCAGAACAGATTTATATTTTCTGCACTGTCAGTTTAATGTCCTTTTTAGAATAAGGAGACGGAAATTGAAAAACGGTTTCAAAAAATGATTCATTCAGTACCAAAAAAAAATATATATATTAATCGAGTCTTAACATAATTGTTAGTTGCCGCTGTAACCCGTTGCATAGTTCACCAGCTTCCAAGAGATGAAATGGCGTCTGTCATGACAGTGGTAATTCCAGATCACCAATTTAGCAAAAGGATCTTTCGACTCAGCCTGATGAACTCTCCTTTTGAGTTGGCCGTTTTCCCGCCTGTAGGCAGTACTTTCACAATGATTTCACAAAGGCACCTCACTCTTACTCGCAAAGTTGGCTTGCGTTTTGCACATTGCTGGCTTTCTTTGGCTTCTGACCGTGCACAGTGGAAACGTTTAAGGTCAGATTCAATCTGCTGAGAAAGCATTCGTCAACCTACTATTGATTCCGATTCCAAAACATTTTTTTTCCCCCAGTCGACACGAGAGGGCATTTGCTTGAGGGGGTTCAAACCCTTGTGAACCGTTCAGGCAGTTTCTAAGCGATATTATAACGCTTAACTTTGCAACCAATTTAACCCTTTCATGTACCCCGTAACCTGATAACACGGTAAGCTGTCCGCTGTCGTAACCGCTGCACCTTGAAAGGGTTAAAAGTGCATTCGCAAAGGCATGATTTCTGACGAACTACATTGGACCAGTGCGGGGAGTGTCAAAGCGCACCCAAGAATCCCGCCACTTGAAGTCTTGTTTACAACCCCTTCGAGTCCGAAATGGCCGTCGCGTTATCAGCCCGTGGCGGCGTCTGCCTTTCGTCCAGAGATGAGCTGCCGCTCTGCTACTGTACCTCTCGCGTGCTGAGACGTCTTTCCCAGAGGCTCCCTGCCTCTCATCAAGAACTCCCTAATCCCATTTGGCGCAATTATCTTATCTCAGCTTCTCAATAGCTGAGAAAGTATTATCCCGCTAATCGCACACACAAACCAATTGGCTCACAAAGCCTCCTCCTCCTCCTCCTGCGCCACTCCTGCTGGGCTCTTCCCGAAAGATTACAAAAGCGTGCACACATTTACAGTACGGCTGGGAATATCTGCGTAAAAGGGATTTTCACTCGGTTGGTAAAGAAGCCCATTGTGCAAATGTCATCTTTTTGTTTTTTCAGCGTGCGGTTTCGTTTTCGCCGGCGCAACCTTTTCACTGTGTACATTGACGGTCAGCAAACACAAATTCGTGTTTATAGCCCCTGGCTATTTATAACCCGGCGCTTATTGATTTGCGTTTCACTTCGGTGCCCCGCCAACGCTGGTCCCGATGTTTGTTGTTGCAGTATCATCGAAACCAAAGGATCCGGGGGCTGCTGTGGTGGCGTCTGGCCACAGCCGTGCTTGGCCTGCTTTTCGACAGGGGCTTCTTGGCCGGACGAGGCGGAGCAAGACGGAGGTGAGGCGGTCTTCCACCTCGTGTCTGTTTTAATCATCTCCACGAGGAACTGGACTCCCGATGGCACTGTCCAATCTAACACGGGTCTGTTTGCGGTGGGGAGTGGTGGCACGGTGGACGCGTGGAAGGGTTTCTCAAAAGGTCACCGCGGGACGGAGACAAACGACTTTTATACAAAGGTTTTTTTCTTTTCAACACGATGCCATGATGCCCAGAGATTCCTCGACGGGACAATGTTCATATTTTGCTATCCGTGTGGTGTAGTAGTTTTGTACAGTACATTAGTTCAGTTTTTTGTTTTTTTTTTTGCACTTCACAATGTATCCATTTTTGATGACCTCCACAGACCCTTGGAATGCCTTATTCAATGTTTTCTGCCATAAAGAGTATTGAAAGAATTTTACATGATGGTAGATAACAAAAGGAAATGTGGTGGGCTTTTTTTTTTTTTTCAACCTTTGTGAAATGTTTCCAGGTAACCACTCAAGTTGATTTATAATTTCCAAAGAGGCAACTTCTCAGAAAACGCGTTTTGCACCTCACTGAATGGTTACATTTACTTTCTTTAATATGGTTTGAACTCGTCATGTCCCTTTCTTACTCATTCATTTGCTGTAATAACGTTCGCAGACGGTTTCTGGACATGACTGCTCACCAAGAAAAATATTTTGTTCAACTACAGTATGTACACGCTACTTACTGTACATGTCGCTATCCCCTGAGGTATCAGGGGCGACGTTTGCAGACGTTAATAATTGCTCACTCGTCAAACAAACCTCTGTAACGACTATTCAGACTGCAAGGAATATGAATTTTGGGCTCCATTTCCCTACCCAGCGCAACCAAAATGTGGGTATTTTTGCAGATGCACAGAGCTTGGCACAACTTAAAAAAAGCGGGCGTTTTGCGGCGTTGTGAGCGTGAACACAGCTGACTCGATACGGCGCCAGTGGACGCGGCTTCTTTCATTCCCTTTAAAATCGGCCCGCGCAGACTTTGACATGGCGGCAGCAGAAACCGATGAGATAAATTAAATTTTGAAGAAACTGGATCAAAGCAGACCTCCACGGCCAGATGATCCTAATTTAGCGAGGGAGATCACAGATCTGTGAAGTCGGCTATTAAGAGACCACCTTCCAAACACGATTGTTGGTGTCCATGTGTGATCCTCCTCACCAGGCCCAAAAGCCCACAGCTGTGATTTTTAAAACAAAATAAAGATCTTAATAACAGCACATGCAATGAATTGATTTCCGCAGTGACTCAGACGGTTCGCTGCATGCTGTTGTCTTATGTATGAAATATGATGACCATCCACCACACGTTTGTGGCACCCAAATCGCATTTTACGACCCGAGGCAATACTTAGATGTGGTTCCAGCAGGCGTAAAGTTCAGAGAACTTTCGGCCACCAAATTGTCCGGTGTGCCCACCACGGCGTAGAGCGATCTACCAAATTTCCAAAAACGCTAAACGAGGTTTGCACTGGCACAAGAATCGAGATGCGCCAGTTTTTACGAATATACAGCCCTATGAGTCTATCAAGTTTTTTACGCTGTATGGATAAAAGTCTTGCCACCTACGGGGTAACTCTTTCATTCACGGAGGGGCCTGCCTGGACTTATTAGGTTGCCTGTATTTTAATTCTACGCTTCCAAATGCGCTAGCAACAGTTTGGGAAGATCTTTTTCGGTTCCAGCAGAACTTTGGAATAAATTCGAACCACCCTCTATATCCAACATCGGCAACCTTTGACCTCCCAGACACACTCCAAAGTCTTCCCGACAAAAGTGAGAAGTTTTAAAGCCGCACAAGCGAGACTCACGTTTTCCTCTTTTGCTTTTCCGTGGGTGTAGTCCACCTGTCCCAATACTTTTGTCCATACAGTGTATCAAGCCACCTGCCGTAAAACTGCCCAATGACAGATACAAAACAGCAGTACCCCAGCTTGTAAAGATTTGGGTTTTTTTTGTAAGTGCACTAAATGGAAACTTTAGTCAAGCCAATTGCGTATTTAGTGAGAGCACCAAATCCTTTTCCATCCTGTTGTTGTTTTTTTTTTTTTTTTTTTTTTTTTTGCTTTGTTCTATCCGTGTTCTTTGCAGACCTCCATGCCCTTGAAGTGGAGCTGTGGATCCACTGTTTTTGCACTAGCACACCCTTTAAATCCCATATCTCACTGAGCGGCGAGGGTTAGCGAGTGCTTGCGCACAGCTCGGATTTTTTAAATTTTTTTTTAGACAAGGTTCGGTCCAGGTCGCAAATGATCTTCCAGAAGTTCGCCGACCGTTTCAACGGTCGCAAACAAAATGTGGCAACGAGAAGAACCGTTTGCAGCCGTTCAAACTCTTAGCCAACGTCTTCGCGACCTTGGATGAACCCTGATGGAAAAACAGCATTCGCTACGTGCGCGCACGCTCGCAAACCTGGGGCCGCCCAATGAGAGACGGGCTTAAGACTTCCACTATTTACCACCCCCCGCATTTTATATGAAGGTTTTCACTTAGTCTGTGGCCACAACATCCCATTTTTTCAATCAGTATTGAGACCTGGCAGGTCACAGTCTGAGATCTGGACCGGAAAAGAAATGGTTCTGGACCTGTCCTGCCACAGCTCGGTGTGTCGTTTTTCCACACCAAACAGGTGAAACGGAATCCTTTCAGGAAACTCTCATGGGATTTACCCCCGCACTGGATTGGGCCGGGTGACTCTTGTATCGCCTTTGATGCTCAGATCCAGAAGCGAAGCAGTTTTTATTCCACAACACCAACCATTCACGATGCAAACTAAAGACTGCGGTTACTTCCTATTGTTAACTATGTTTTGAAGACACTGTGGAAGATTTGTGGGGGGGGTTTGTGGGGTTTTCTTTTTTTTACATTGATGAACACAGGCCAACTTTTGGACCCACGGAGCATTACGTATCAGGGGTGTGTAAATGACTTGCTCCAAGCAATGTGTCAAAGTTGATCACTGCATCGTTATTTGATTTTTTTTTTTTTTTTCCTCTCGTACTCAACATATCTCAGGGACAACAAGGCTTTGTGGGCCACCTTGAGAATCAGTTACACGGTCAGAGGAAGAGCAGCGTTGCCACCCATGACGAAACGTCGTCTCTCATGTCTTTCCTCGTCCCAGATTTGTCCGCGCAAAAGGTACATTTTGACCAAGGAGTCGGAGGCTTGGCTGGGTGGGGGGTGACGGGGGTGGGGGGCTACCGAGTGTGGAGTTAGGAGGCGTGTGACGTGCACTGAATGTGGTTGTAGTTTCCTGCGGATCCTCAATGCTGAGCCAGTCCGTGTAGCGCCCCGTCCCGCCATTGTCCTCGCTTGTGCCGCTCCTTCAAAGACACACACCTATTCTTCATGAGTGTAATTTATTTTTTCTTATTATTTATTTTCTTTCTTTTTTTTCTTTTTTTTTGTATATTTGCCCATTTCTACTGTATACACTCGCACGTGCGATCACTTCTTGTTATCCTCGCGTGTAGTCTGTCATAAAGAGCAACGGTTGAGTTTAAAATTAGCTTTGTACAAAATGGACCTTAATGGCCGCAAGTAGATGTGATCCACTCTTGTCCCTGTCGCACCCCAAAAAAAAAAAAAATCACTGTTCCCATTCAAAGCAGACTTGGACAATTGCCTTTCAACGCTAATATCGCCTTATCATTCGCCTTATTGATGACCGCAGCTTACTGCTCTTCTTTAAGACAACGGCTTCCAAACCTCGTCCAACCGCCTTTCCATCCAGGGGAGCATGTTTGATCCTGGAAAAATGGATCACGGGTGGAGTATTGAAAGCTTGTGATTTTCTAGGGATGGGCCCCGACCACCTCAAGACATTTTTCAATACGCCGCTCAATTCGGTCTCGGGCAAGATTCTCTCCCATGTGCGGTTTAGCAAAAGCGGCGGCTTCAATGCAGTTATTAATTAGTATAATAATTATCGTGACGCACGTCTTTTCCCTCGGAATTAATGAAAGGTCATCCATCGCTGATGATACATCAGAGAGGGAGAGCTTCAAAAAGAGTTACGACGTTCATGTTCCTTGAAGAAACAGGGTGTTGGTTTATGTGTTCAATTCCCGGAATCTTGATCAATGTTGTAATCGACATGCACTGGAAAGTACTTTGTTTCTGTAGATCCCACGGGTCCCTTACGTGTCGTGTCTTCCTATATGATGTACAGTATACTTCGGATTGTTCATGTGGCGTCACAGCTGCGTCGGTGCGTCGGCCAAGGTGGCTCGCGCCTTTGATTTATTGGAAAGGGAAACAATCTGCCGCGGTGCCCCCCGTGTATTTTTTGTTTTTTGGGTTACAATGATGTTCCCGCGCCGCACCCGTTCTCTTGTGTACACGTCAAGAGTGGAGCGTCCCTCGTGTGTGTGGGGGGCGGGGCGGGGGAGGGGGCATTGTATTTTACGGAAACCGTCAGTGTCTTTGAATTTTGTAGTCCACTTTATATAAATTTGAAGTTTTTGAGGAAGTTTTGATTTTTTTTTTTTCATAAAATTCCTTCACGTTCTTTCTTAACTTTGCAAAATGTATTTTCTTAACCGAAAACGGTCTGTTTTTATAAGGACTTGGATTCGATTTTTTTTTAAAGAGTAGGATCTTTGCGACTCCATGATATCGAGGGCATTTTATGATGTGATTTGATTTTTTTTTTCCAACATTCCTTGCACAGCTCTTTGCAGCGTGTGAAGCAAACCAAAACAATTCACTGTCGTTAATTTCGCATCTTCGTGACAGACCCGATTCAAGTGTACATGTATTTGTAAAACCCTGGAATATGCCTTTAACTGCTCAGTTTCAAATGAAGTCTTGATGATCACACACTCTCTGTATACCAAGAAAAGGAGACCCAGCGAAAATGTAGCATTTTTGTAAACATTGACTGTGTGTTTTCGAGACTCTACTGTGCACTCATTTTGTGTTTATATGTCATTTTTGTTTTGTTTTTTTCTGGGGATTTGTTCATATATTATGGAAGTAAAGACAATGTGTTATGTAGTGCAATATGCTGTACATATGGAGCTTTGCTCTACAAATCTTTTTTTTCCTGGATTTCTTGTTATTGGTACTTTTTTTTTTCAATAAAATTTTATTGAACGTGTCTAGCGGTTTCTGTATTTATGAGTATGAACCGTATGTGCATTTCTAAAGCCATTTATATTGGCGTTCAGAGCTTCATTTCATTGTGCCAGTATGTTATGCAGTACGTATATCGTTTTGAATATGCAGGAGTATAAATATCCCAAACAGAACGACCATGTGCCGCTAATCCTAAAATGAGTTGGATGATGTTACATTTATTTATCCCATCCCTTTACAATTACCCAATGTAATATTTTTAATCAAGAAGTGCAATCTGAAAATGCAGACATCTAGTACACATACACCTCAAAAATACTCTGTATCCATAAAAAAAATATATTAACCCATGTACAATGTTCTGTAATACGAAAATAAATTCAGATGCGTTCGTGGATGCAGCAAACAACAAGACAACCAGTTTGAGTGACAATTTATCATCGCAGTATTGTTAGCCTAATAGCATGATGAATAATTCCATTTCATTTGAATTTACTGTGACCAAATCCATAAAATAGACTAATGTAGTTCTCAAAAATGTCTTTTCCCGTTTTTCAACAAAACGTTTAAATGATTTAAGCTGCTATGCCATTAGCAGCGGTGCTCACATGTGGTGCGCAGGTGCGCTTAATACGTATATTATAAGAGCACCAGATTAAATTGTGTTGCTGCGCATATGTGTACCAAACCTTTTGCATCGCTGAGTTTGAACCACCTCATATTTTCTTGGATTAATTCTTCTGTGCAGCCACAGAGCTGGGCCGCCGCTTCAAACAGAGAGATTGACATTTATTTTTATTTTTTTGTGGAGCAGGAGACGAGGCTCCAGTCGTGTTGAATGACTCATTGGATCAGTTGACTCTTTCGAGTGAATGTGCTGACTTAGATCACTTCATGAAGTGATCATTTCTTTGTCAGTTCAGTTGAACTCGGCTGCGAGCGTGCGGCCACGAAAAAAGTGCAACTCGCTGGGCGGCAACATGTTGGTGGGCTTTGTGGGCATCTCTGTCTCGCTGCAGAGCGACAGGCAGGGGAGGTGCGTGCATGGCTCTTAATACGACTCCGTTTTATGTTATGGTTGGTTGGATATGCTATCAATAGTTTTTATTGACTTAACCCGGGGGTCAGCAACCTGCGGCTACAGAGCCGCATGCGGCTCTTTAGCGCCGCCCTAGTGGCTCCCCGGAGCTTTTTCATAAATGTTTGAAAATGGAAAAATATGGTTTCTGTAGGAGGAAAAACTTTACACAAATGGGAAAGGGTTAAAAAAAAAAAAGTTGGCGACCACTGCTCTCGAGAACTGCCTCAAAACAATTGATGGGGCGGTCATTATAAGTCTTCAGATTCATCCCGTGACGTGGATGGGTCGGGAAAAAAAAATTAGCACCAAGCGACGACCTCAGGTACCCCTTTGCCAACCAGACCAAAAATGTTTAGTGCGCCACAGGCGCACTAAACATGGTCGTGGTTGTTTTTTTTAGTGGCATCGGACGAGAAATTTCGACCAAAAGTCGTACGTACCGTTATCCTAAAACTGAGCCCCTGATGGATGAACTCGGCATTTGCAGGTAACAAGGCCTGCGAGGCTGGCCAAGCATTTGGCAGAGGCTGGCCTCATCGCTTCCCCCCTGCTGTTAGGTCGTTAATTTTGCGAGCGCAGCGGGGCTTCCAAACCTCTCCAATAACTGTTGCCCGCCCCTCCAAGCATACACAGGCAAGTGTTGCATGACAACAGAATGAGCCCATGCATCGAGCCAATGAGCGTTACCTCACACCGCATTAAGGCAGAGGCTGCTGAGCTCATACAGATTAGTTACACCGCAGCACGGATGCCCTTAAGGCATGAGAGTGATTGATTACTCCTGACACACATAAACATGAAACTCTGCAGCTTATCACTGGTGAGTGTAGATCCCGAAAGTGCACTCTTATCCAAATGCGGGTTTCTTTTTCAGTCAATTCGTAGAGCGATTTTACAAGACCGTGCTTCAGTCCAGGGAGCCTACGCGGTCTATCAAAAATGTCGAAAAGCATTGGTCAGTATGAACTGACATTGAGGTGCGAAGCAAGAGTTAATGTCGGTAGAAGTGCAGCGCTCCGCTTTGCACTCGGAGTTGTTTTGAATAGTTTTTGCCCCTCTCGTGTGGCTCGACGCACGAACAACTTTCAGCGAGATGCGGTGCTGCTCTGCATTTCAAACGATTACCTTGGTCACAGTGTCAATTCCTCATGGAGCAGATTTGAATCTCTGATTGATTTCAGGATTAAAACTGTGGCCTGTGGCTGAGCGCGCGTTATTTTCATTTTGTTTTCAAGCATGCTGCTATATCTTCCAGTCCATCACCCCGGGGTAGGCACGTGGCACTTGTATTGCCATACATGGCAGGTTTCATGCTTTGCTGATACCTGACTCACCTGTTTGGCCACTTGCTAGGGAAAGAAAAAAAAAAACCCACTCGTCTGCTGCCCTTCGACACAAACAGAAACGCAGGATGTGGTTAGAGTAGAGAAAAACAGCTCTTTTCCTCAGTCATCCTTGGCTTCGTCTACACAACAGTTCCCCCTCCTAATCCTGTCTGGGGTGTTTTAAGTGAAGGAATGTAGGACACGTGTCAGATCTACTCGATTCTGCTGATATCGGAGACGAAATGTGACATTGTGCTAAGGATGTTCGCGGTCCGCCTGGCTGTTTACGCAGCTTCATGGCCCCAGTGGTCCTCTCCTCTCGGCTCAGCTCTTTAATAGGGAGAGAATTGGCTTCCCCGGGCCCAAACAATGGCTCCTCTGTTCCAACTGGACTGGCCTCCTGCTGAAAGAGACACCCATTAGAGAAGCTCTATCTCTGGGGTCAGGCTCAGGGGTCGCGCACAAGTGCAGCTCTTGTTTATGTCTGCAAAGTCAATCAAAACACGGCAGCTTAACTCCTACTTGCCCGATTCGACTTGGCGGGTTTTCTGTTCGGGCTAAAGACCAACGTATCCAACCGCGGCTTCGACGCGCTTGAAGCTTAAGAGATACAGGTTGCGTGAATGAGAGTGAATGAGGTGGCTGCGTGAGAGCGAGAGAATAACAACAAAGTGGCGTTGACATGTACCTCAGCACCTGCTCTGCACCAGCAATCGCTGAGCCCCACCCCCTGACTCCCAGAAAATAGCTTCTCAAGTAGCTTGCTCCCAATGCTGCCACACACAGGCAATCACTTAATGATCACTTGCAGGCTCACCTTTTTCACTGAGATACTTAAAATGATGATGATGATGATGACTACCAATGACGATATGGCTCCTCCTCAAAGACGAACGCCCTGTAAGTTGGTTTTAATGTGTGAGGAATAACTGACTTTTAATTAAGTTCGCCCTCTGACTATTCTGAAGAGAGATGAGTCATAATGGGTTTGCCCATGTTCCAGATGCAGGATGGCGCAGTCTGTCATTAGGTTAAACAGTTAAGATGGCAACTTTCATCGTGGAGCTGCCAACATACGCTAAAACCACCCATTCTTTTTTTTCTAGTGCATTTATGCTCTTCTGGGTCCCTCTCTTTCAATTGACCTCAATTGAAAAGTGTATTACACCCTGAACTGGTCATCAGATAACCGTCAGCTGTGTTCATACTCACGTGCATAAGTCAGTGAGTGGGATAAAATTAAAAACCAATACCGGTAGATCTAAAAAAAAACAAAACAAAACAATACCTCCCCCCTTCATTTATGCCGGATGGTTTGCTGGATAGAGTTATGAATGAAAAGAGTGAAAAAGGCACCACTGGAAGTTAGAATGGGTGAGTGGATGCATGCACCTCTTCTGTTTTGAAGAGAGTGCCAGGAGGGTGTGCGGACATACAAAAATTTTTTTGGGGATTTGCTTAAATTGCAGTAACGTACATTAGTTGCACATGATTAAACTGTGTTCGACTCGCATGTTATTTGATGATTTATATATCAGGCTGTAGAAACAGCTGAAGATTCATATCTATCATATCTGGCGTAATTCACTGTTTTGCATTTTAATGATGAGTCCTGCGGTTGAGGGGTTGTGATGAGCGTGCCGTGATGCTGTCAGCATCAAAGCGCGCAGGGTCATTCACGTCGATTAAACTGCCTTTTGAAAAATAATCTGACAGCCCTCCCCGGCGCTGTTAAACCGCTAGTGCGGCTGCACGCTGGCAGCAGGCGCCGTAGAATACACCTTCAGCGTAGTTACATCGTTTTTTTTTTTTTTTTTTTTGGGGAAAAACGCCTTATAATAACTGGTCGTTTTTTTCAGCTAAAAACCCCTTACTATACATGGTCGTTTTTTTTTTGGGTTAAAACTTCTTACGATACATGCTCGTTTTTTCCCGCTAAAAACGCCTTACTATACATGGTCGTTTTTTTCATCAAAAAACGACTTACTATACATGGTCATTTTTTCGGGTTAAAATGCCTTACTGTACATGGTCGTTTTTTTTCGGCAAACAACGCCTTACTAAACATGGTCGTTTTTTTCGGCTAAAAACGGCTTGCTGTACATGGTCGTTTTTTTCGGCTAAAAACACCTTACTTGACATGGTCGTTTTTTTTATCGACTAAAAACGCCTTACTATACATGGTCGTTTTTTTCGGGGTAAAATGCCTCACTATACATGGTCTTTTTTTTCGGCTAAAAACGCCTTACTATACATGGTCGTTTTTTTCATCTAAAAACGCCTTCCTATACATGGTTG